TAAAACCAGTTGCAGTTGATGTCGCTGGTATATTAAATGCAGATTTATTTTGACCAAATAATCCAATTGTCTAAACATATGAAAGAAAATATTAAATATAAATAATGTATAGAAAATTAATAAATAAAATACAATATTAATATTATATTTACCTGATTAGGTTGAGTACCAAATGTAGATGCAAATCCTGTATTAGGTGTAGTATTAATATTGCCAAAACCTGTGCCAGCAGTTTGATTAGTATTATTTGTTTGAAACAGTGACGTCGGTGCAGCAGCTGTAAATGCGCGTAAAGTTGTTTATTTTTATGCTAATAATAATAATTAATTAATTAATTTATTTATTTATTTATTTATTTAAATATAATCTTATTAGATAGAATATAATTGTTTGGGAATGTTAAAAAGTATTTTGAAAAAATTGTCTTTACTTACTACCAAAAGGTTTAGCTTGTGTATTATTGCCAAAAAGATTTGTGTTAGTAGTAGAATTGAATCCAAAAGTATTTGTTGTTGTAGCTGGTTGTCCTCCAAAATTTGTCATTGGCTTACCAAAAAGACTACTGGATCCAGACTGACTAGTAGTCCCAAAACCTCCACTCATTCCACTAAAACCTATTATAATATAAATAAATAAAACATGAAGTAAAAGTTACATTCTATGCACGCAAGTATACATACGTATATGCGCGTATACAATAGGATAATTAATACAATTACATAAAAATAATTTTAAAAATATACCTGTTGCAGCAGTACTAGTGCCAGCTGCTGTATTTCCAAAAGGAGAAGGTTGCGCAGCTGTCCCAAAAAGCCCAGTATTTGGTCCTGTTACATATGTAAATCAAATTTGACGCCAATTTATTAGTACTCAATTCAAAATGATTACGACAATGTATCGGGTTAGTCACTGAAGACCGGCCATCCGATATATAAAAACTTTTCATTTTTATTGATAGGAAAACATTTTTCAAATATAAATTCTTTGTTATTAAGAGAGATATCATTATGCATGGATTATTTTTTCTCAGGTAAAGGCGTATAGGAGATTTTAAATGGAACCATCCATTTTTGAACACCTACAATTGTAGCCCTTTCCAAGACAATTTTAATGGTCATCGAGTATTCAAGCTCATAAATATGAAAAATTTTAATTTAATATTAATATTTCCTAAATGGAGTATGTTTGACTTTTTATTTTTGTTCTCTTAACTCTTACCTTACTCAAATATTTTTATAACTTCTCATTTTTAACACATTGTTTACCAATTACAAGTTAACTCGTGTTAGTAAATAATTTATCTAATTGTGATTTTAAAATTGATATTAGAAGACAATTATGAATCTAACATTAAATTAATAAATTAGCAAAAACTAAATTTAATAGAATCTAATAGTAAAAGTGATTTTGAAAAAAAGAAAAAAATTATTAAAAGTTATATAGAACATATTTACGAAGTTCAATTTTAATTGATTACGTATAAATAAAATATATCGAAGTATCTTTAGATTTTTGTACTTTCATATTACGTTAGGAAATAATAGTTGATAACATAAGATAGATCCTTAGTAAAATTACCGGTCGACAATGTGTTAAAATACAAATACTTTTTTATTTTTTATTAACAGAACATTAAATTGTGTAAAATATGATTTTTGATAACAACAAAGTGATTGTCTATTATCATTTTAAACAGAAAAGTAGAAAATCGTTGAATTGGACGAATGTGAAACCTTCATTGACTACAAAAACCACCGGACTTAACATCGTTAAATTTCTTTTTAAAAGGTAAATTTAAAGATGTATATATTATGATACGTCAACTACTTAAAGAAATATGAGAAAAAGAATGCAACAAGCTTGCATTGTAATCGATAAGAACACATTGAAATATATAAAGTTTTAGACAGTGTTTATTTGTGGGTAGTCAGCATTTTGAACATCTGTATCATGTAACCCAGATCACGATTAAATAATAATTAATATATTAATAACATTTTAGTTTGATTCATTTAATAGAATGAATATTTTATATGGGAGACATTAATGATAAATTCAAATTTTGTAACTTCTATATCTATGAGCTTATTGAATACTCGATGACTGTTAAAATTGTCTTGGAAAGGGCTACAATTGTAGGTGTTCAAAAATGCATGGTTCCATTTCGAATCTCCTAAATGCCTCTATCAGGGAAGAAATATTCCCTATAATATAATGTCTTCCCATGATAATAAAAAGACTTGTAAAAAATTATTCTTATCATTTAAATTGTAGGAGTTATTCGCGCGGATGACCGGTTTTTAAGTGACTAATCCGATATATACACGTATGTTGTATATACACCAACAATTAAATATTTTAAATAATATTATTGTCCTTATACCTTGTGGACCTTGAGGACCTTTTCGACCAACCGAATAATCTTCAAAACGTAATTCCTCATACGATTTGTTCTCATATTCCTTCATTGATACAATGCAACAATGCCGTCCAGATATGCTATGAGCTGTACCATTTTTTGTCATAGAATCTGTTGTTACAAGTGGCGTAAATTTAACCACTGTCCCTGTCATAGCTGTATTAGCAGGTGTACTACTAAAACCTTAAGATATATATATATATATTATACAAGTATATATATATATACACACATATACATACATATATTAATAAATAAATTTTGATTAGTAATTAATAATAATATTATTTTATATATGACTTACCAGTAGTAGTACCAAAAAGATTTGTTGTTCCAGTTGTATTAGTTTGACCAAAAGGTGTAACTTGTTGAGTTGTTTGTTGTGGTTGTCCAAATAAATTATTGGAAGCTGGGCTGCCAAAACTGAATCCACCAGTTTTATTTCCTTGACCAAATGCAGATGTTGCTGTACTTGTCCCAAAAAGGTTTGGGGTTGCATTTTGTTGCGTACCAAATAGATTAGTATTAGCATTGGTAGTACCGAAAGCTATAAACCAAAATAAATCAATATTTCATGTTCATATATTTTAATTTATACTTGCTTATTTTCAAGAAAATATTTTTAAATTTTCTAATAAATAAATAAAATAAATATACATACCTCCAAAAGAAGGTTGAGTAGTGGTCTGTTGTCGAAATGCTGGTGGTGTAGTAGTATTACCAAATAATCCACTAGTTGAAGAACCAGCGGGTTTAGAACTGAAGAGTGAAGTGTTACTACTACCAAAAACCGGAGTTGTACCGATTCCAAAACTAGTTGTTGTAATCGGTTTACTGAATGCGGATTGACCAAAAGGACTACTTTGAGTAGCAGTATTAAAACCAGCTAAAATTATTTAATAATATCAATAAAATATGCTATGAAATGAAAAAAATATGCATTATAGTTCAATGAATAAAATTAACATACAGAAAGATGTATTTCCAGATTGTCCAAACATTTCTATTCGATGTTATTAGGTTCACAGACTCTAGCAAAGTTATATTAATATTTGCCTTTTTAGAATATCTGTAAGAAAAAGAATTATTTTAAATTAATATTTTCATATTTTTATGTTTACGTTGGAAGAAAAATAATATTGAGCAAGATTGCACAATAAATACTCCAATGATATCAGAAACATGTATGTATGTATGTATGTGTAAAATTGTATAACACGTATAACATGCTATAGCGTGTTTACGTGTATTACGTGTATATCGTGTATAATGTGTATAATATGTCCTTTATTTATCAACAGTAACTAACAAAACAAATTAAATATTGATTTGTAAACAATAAAATAACTTTATAATAGTTTAAATATGTTTACAATAGAATATGAGTAATATTTTATGATTGTAAGACTGAGAAAAATTGCTTACCTATTATTATCAAAGCATTACCTTGAATTAAGATTGAATGTTTTAAATGACTATTTTAACAAAAATTATTAATATATATTTACAAATAAAGTGCGTATAAACACGTGAGTAAATTTGTTATTACTGCAACCCACGCTTCGTAAACAAGTAAAAACGTACTGTCGGATTAAAGATGGACAATGGCACTGGACATGTATACCAATCTTCATTTATCTAAATCACTAGAACGAAATAGTTACTTTACAATGACTGTACTATTCGACTCAAAAATGTTAATATGTTTCAAAAAAAACTGACTCAATCTAAGATGTTCTCTTTTTTAATGAAATATTTAAATCGTTACTTTTATTTTCTTCTATGACTATCACATAATTTGATTTATTCGTTTAACTAATCAATAATTTCAAAAGAATTATAAATTGAATTAACTTAACAAGTGTAAACAGGAAGACACTACTAACAACAAGAAAAAACCTTTTCATCTGATTCACACGCTAGTCGTATAGTCCACGGAGGATAGATACCAGGAGTCTGAACGTAATGTTGAAAGAATGGTATCAATTTAGGGGACAAGATATTTTGCCGGTAGGGCGCGCTGCTTTTCACAGAGTACTCGTTTAAATACTTACGCG